CCCTCCTTTCCCCCTTCTCTCCACCTCCTCCCCGCCCCGTCCTCCCACGCCTTCCCAAGCCTTCTTCCCCGACGCCAGCGCCTGCAGACCCCGCGAACGCCCTGGAGCTCGGGTCTGGTGGGAGGTGTGGCGCGCGTTGAATGCTGTGTGGCCCCGACCGCACACCGACGCCTCTAGGAAAGGCTCCGATCGTTCCTGTATCATGATGGCAGCCGTCTGTTCAGCGCCTTCTACTTTTAAGACATTATTGCACTGACCCCGGGAACCCAGCCCTGCGGCCCGGCGGGGGCGGGGGCCTGACGGTCTGGTCTGTGTTGCAGTACGAGATGTACACCATCGAGCGGAACGCGGAGCGCACCGCCACCGCGGGGAGGCTGCTGTACGACATGTGAGTGAGCGGGCGTGGGCCTCCTGCGGTTTGTTCCGTGGAGGGGGCATGGCAGGAAGATTCCCCTTCAGCCACATCCCACCTTCGCTATGACTGGAGTCCTAACGTTCGTTGCTGGCATGCCCTCTGCAGAGAAGTCTTAATGTTTCTTGTTAAAACTCTGCTGTCCAAGAATTTCTTTTATTTTGGAAATAATACATGATGCTCTAGATCAGTGGTTCTCAACCTTCCTAATGCCGCGACCCTTTAATACAGTTCCTCATGTTGTGGTGACCCCCAACCATAAAATTATTTTCGTTGCTACGTCATAACTGTCATTTTGCTACTGTTATGAATCGTAATGGAAATATCTGATATGCAGGATGTATTTTCATTGTTACAAATTGGACATAATTAAAGCATAGTGATTAATCACAAAAACAATATGTAATTATATATGTGTTTTCCGATGGTCTTAGGCGACCCCTGCGAAAGGGTTGTTCGACCCCCAAAGGGGTCGCGACCCACAGGTTGAGAACCACTGCTCTATATAAAAGTTAAAACAATATTGAAGCATGCAGAATAAAAAGTGAAAGCCTCCCCCCCTCCCGCCTCCTAAATTCCACCAGAGTTAAGTTGTATGTGTGTATGTGTGTGTGTGAGAGAGATACACATACACACGATGCATATAACACGTTTGGGGGGTGGATTACAAAAGCGAGATCATACTGATTATTCTGCAGCTGGCTTTCTTCGCCCCCTTTTCCTGTAAGTAAAGGACCCCTTTTTCTGTTCGTAGGTAGAGATCTACTTCGTTCTTCTTCATGTCTGCATAGCATTTCATTACCACTCTTATTGGTAGTTTCCAAGTTTGAAATTACAGTGTCCATAGGCAATATTGTACCCATGTTTTGATGTTTTCTGTAGAATAGATTCTACATGGATTTCCCTAGTGAACGTTTGCACATTTTAAATGTTGATACACTGTCAAAGTGCTCTCCCCAAAATACCATTCCAGTTTACATTTTCACTAACGGTGTATGCGTGTGCATTTTTCCATACCTTTGCCAACAGTGGATATTATCAGACTTTCAGATTTAAATGTTTGCCAATGTGATAGAAAATGGTATTTTGCTGTTTTTAAATAGTTGTCTCCATTATATTCCTAATCTTTTCAAATGTTCTCTTTGGCTATTTGTGTTTTTTCTGTGATTTGCCTTTGCCCACTTTTTCTTTGGGTACCTTTTTTTTTCTTGTTGATATTTAGAAGTACTTTACACATATGAAATATTATCTTTTCTCTTGCAAAAATCTCAAAACTCTTGTGGGTACCCTCATTTTTTAAAATACGTTTTTATTGATTTTTTTTTTTTTTTTTTTTAGAGTGGAAGGGAGAGAAAGAGAGAAAGATCAATATGAAAGAGAAACATCTATTGGTTGCCTCCAGTATGCACCCCAGTCAGGTACTGAACCCACAACCTTTTTGGTATGGGAAGTTCAACCATCTGAGCCACACTGGCCAGGGCTGATACCCTCATTTTTTTAAAATTAGTTTTTATTTTTATATCTTTTTTTTAAATTTTTGTATCTTTATTTTGGTTTGTTTTAGTACATCTACGTATTCACTTGGAATAATGAAAAATGTGTTTTTATTCAAATGTTAGTGTTCTTTGTTGGATATTATATAGAATCTGACATTTTAATTTAATGCATTCATTTTAAAACTAGGTTTGTGAATTTCCCAGATCAGCCGGTGGTATGGAGAGAAATCAGCATTATCACATCAGCATTAAGGAACGATTCACAGGATAAACAAACCCAATTTTTAAGAAGTAAGAATGGAGTAATTACTTAACAGTGTATAAGTTACTGTTTCTGGAATACCAAGTTAAATGTAGTAATTTCGCCAAAAAATGACATCTGTAATATTGGTAGCCATATGTATGTTTTATTCTTGGCAGAGGAAGTCTGTACAAATGGTGTCACTTGGTCCCTGAAGCATTTGCTTAGACTCCTGTAAGCTTCCTTAAGGGATGTGGACTTATCAGTTAATATTTAATATTACCATTCCAGGGAACTGAATATATTTTTAACAGGTTTTACAGCAGTCGGAAAGCATCTGTATATTAGGCAGATCTTCACAAAACAGGAGAGAAACTTTAATGATTTATGACCTTTCTTTAAACCTTTACTCTGTGTTGGTTGCTATAGCCAATCAAATATTTCAAATTCTGGATAAAAAAGTAGACAGTGTAGGTCCTTTCACCTTAAACAAGTGCGTATTCTCTGTCTCAGCCAGCAAAAAGCACTGTTGTGACCCTTCACATATATCATTCTTGCCTTCTGGATCCCAAAAAGGTTTTTATGGTCATTCAACAAACATCTTGTGCCCAATACTGTCTGACCCAGAAGCCTTCTAGGTTGTAGGTGAAACCCGAGAACAATGATTCTTCACATAGTATTTACTCTTCTGTATATAAAAATGCCTTACTTCCACTTTTGCTTGAGTGTTCTTTCTGAAAGGAACTTCTAAAAACTTGATGTGCTGTGTACAGGTTTATTTGAAACTCTTCCTGGTCGGGTCCAGTGTGAAATGTTACTCAAGGTCACGGAACAATGCTTCAACACCTTGGAACGATCAGAAATGCTGCTGCTCCTTCTGAGACGCTTCCCTGAAACAGTGGTGCAGCATGGGGTAAGATTTGGTCCTTTCCTTTTCCTTAAGAGAAAATAAAAGTCATCGACAAATTCATCAGTATGCTTAGGAGCTATAGTGGATATTGTAAAGCAGACATTCTGAGGAACATTAGATAAGGTTGAACTTAAATCTTTGTCAGTAAAGCTAGAAGGATGTCACTATTACCAAACCATTAATTTCCAGTAGAAGTTGTTTTATCAGTGTAAGGAAACAGTCACTGAGCTTTGAGTAAAGTTTTTTAAAATAATCTTATTCCAGTGTTTTCAAAAATGTGTTTGAATTTTAATGAGAGCTGTAGTTTATATTTTTAATAGACATGTTTTTCACATGCTTTTGCCCTATGAACATTGTTTTCTCTCTACTCATGCCCTTTTCTTATATCCGTAATAATTGAATGCTATTGGCAGGCTTTGGGAAATGTTAGGAATTTCCTTCTATTCTCCACAGACCCCTTGAGGTGTACATAATATCCACTTTACAGATGAGGGGACTGAATCTTAAATGTTAGTAACTTCCCGTAAGTGGGAGAGTCAGGATTCAAATCCTTAATCTTCTTACCGTTTCCTAGCTTTTGGTGGTCACCAGCAGTCTGTCATTCCTCGGTTTGCAGCGACATCATTCCAGTTTCTGCCTCCATTGTCACATGGCCTGCTTCCTTGTGTGTCTGTGTCTTTACATGACCTTCTTATATAAGGTCATTGAGTTAGGTCCCACCCTAATCCAGTATGACCTCATCTTACCTAATTGTGTCTACAAAGAGCTCACATTTTGTAAGGTAAAATCTGTGTAAGGTCACATTCTGAGGTCCTGGGTGGACATGAATTTTGGAGGGGACACTATTCAACCCAGTATAGTCCCTGATCATTACTCTGACTTTAAACTTTCTGTGCTGTGTAATCGTTCACATTGTCCCACCCCAACCTTGTGCATGCCAAATAGTTGCAAGGAAGATAATGCTGACATCTTGGTGGATTTGATAAGCCAACTTTCTGCTATACTAGGGCATCAGTAATGGAAAGGTGGCTTAAAACTCCTAGTCTGTCCAGCCGAGTGCAGGCTGTACGACTGGCTAATCCAGACAACTCTTGAAAGTGATGTTTCATCTACATGACACATCTTAAGGTAGATAGTAAAGTTTTTTCCACATTTCTTAGAAAATCTCTACATCTCTATTATCATTCTAACTCTAGTTCCAGGGCATCTTTAAGTTTCTTACACATTTTGTTAGGGTTTTAATATTACCATTTCAGAGGAAAATAACCAAGACAAAGTGATCTGTGGTCAGGTGAATTAGGGATTTCCTTCTGAGCTGTGTTGCTGATGTTTTTTTGTTTTCTAGTCTTTAATATGAAAATATTTGTTTCTCGGGAAGCTTGAATATACAAACTATGTGGTAAATTAAAAAAAATACCTTATTGCCCTAACCTATTTGGCTTAGTGGTTAGAGTGTTGGGTCTTGGACTGAAGGGTCTCGGGTTCGATTCCTGTCAAGGGTGCATACCTCAGTTGCAGGCTCGGCCCCTGGCCACGGTCGGGGCACATGCAGGAGGCAACCAACTGATGTGTCTCACATTGATGTTTCTCTCTCTGGTTCTCCCCTTCCCCTCCACTCTCTAAAAATCATTGGGGGGAAGAATATCCTCGAATGAGGATTAAAAACAAAAAATTACATGTTTCTTCGTGTAATTCTGACATGTTAAACTGTAACACATTTAAATGATTAAATGTATTTTGAAACAGGTTGGTCTTGGGGAGGCACTGCTAGAGGCTGAAACCATTGAAGAACAAGAATCTCCTGTTAACTGCTTTAGAAAATTATTTGGTAAGAAAAATTGTATTTTATATTAAGTCCTTATGCTATGTAGAATATGCAGGGGTAAGTATCATTTCAGGGATCAGGCCATTGGTAGAAAGCAAAGGACCTTTTCATATTTCGGCACTTAAATCATTGTTTATTTTTTCAGTCCAGAAAGCATTTTAAACAATTTCTAAGTTTTTGTGATGTCATATTTGATATCTCCCAAAGAATATGTGTGACTGTATATTTAAGTATGCAGTGTAATAATAAACAAACATCTTACCCACAATATAGAATCTGCCTGTGTTTTCTCGCTGACTTCACCCACTGGTGTGCCTCTGCACTGCAGTTTTCAAATAAATGTGCCATAAGGGTTTGTCCCCCTGTACATTTTAGGTACTACATTAAGTGAACTCGAAAATAAATTTTGTTTTTGTCAGAACCCTACGATAGACAATTGAACCATTTTTTTCTTATTTTTCCTCCTCAACAGTTTGTGATGTCCTTCCTCTAATTATTAACAACCATGATGTTCGGTTGCCTGCCAATTTATTATACAAGTACTTGAACAAAGCAGCTGAATTTTATATCAATTATGTCACCAGGTCTACTCAGGTAGAGAATCAGCATCAAGGTAAGTAGGAATGTTCTACAATCTTGTTTAGACAGACTTTAATAAAATTGCAAAGTCAGAAATCCCTCAGCATTCTGATTATTCCCTCTGGATACATACCAGTTTGATAATGTTTCTAAAAGAAGGTTTCTAGAAAAGAAATACTGCAGTTAAGAGATGAGACTTTTCTGGACCCAATTTTACCCCTAAATTGCAACAGTTAACTTGTTGAACTCTATTTATACACTGAGCTTTATACATGTACCACAGCTCAAAGTCACTTCCTACATTACCAATGGCCAGTGTAGGTCCTTGAACAAGACACAACATGTTGAGATTCTGTGCTCTAGCTTTTTGAATGGGGAGTGAGATTTTTTTTCCTCTATCAAGTAACATAAACCAGTGATTCTCAACCTGTGGGTCGAGACCCCTTTGGCGATCGAACGACCCTTTCACAGGGGTCGCCTAAGACCATCCTGCATATCAGATATTTACATTATGATTCATAACAGTAGCAACATTACAGTTATGAAGTAGCAACGAAAATAATTTTATGGTTGGGTCACAACATGAGGAACTGTATTTAAGGGCCAGAAGGTTGAGAACCACTGATATAAACAGTTAAGTAGTAATGTTAATTGCAGGCTATTTTTTTCTTACATCTCAGGTGTGCAAGAAACATCTGATTTAATGTCACCTAGCAAACGTAGCTCTCAGAAGTACATAATAGAAGGATTGACTGAAAAATCATCCCAGATTGTGGACCCTTGGGAGAGGTTGTTTAAGATTTTGAATGTTGTTGGAATGAGATGTGAATGGCAGATGGATAAAGGAAGACGGTAAAAAATTGTTCGTTTCTAGAATTACCTAACAAATCTTTGATAGCATAATCTCAGGATCCTAAGAAACAAAAACACTTTTTAAAGCAACTAATATATTAATATTAGACTCCTGATTCACGAAATTTGTGCAAGGGCTCGGCCCTCTCAGCCCCGGCTGCCTCGGCCAGCCCTCAGCCCCATCTTAGTCCGGAAGGTCGTTTGGCTGTTTGGTCTAATTAGCATATTATTAAATAGGATATTGGTACATCTCTCTTTGGGTAAATTCTGTAACACACAGTATTTATGCAAAAGAGGGGTAGTTTTTCATTTTATTAAAAGATTCCCAACAGAAATAGGAACTCTTAAGATGATGTTGAGTTTGAAGTACTCCTTGATGTTCAGAGGAAAGAGAAGCTACTTGGCATTTTTGTTTCGTAAAATATTGGTCTAATCACTGCTCTAATTCAGGAGAATTTGCAGCCATATGTGGACAATAAAGACTAGTTTTACATGCCTATAGTTACATTTGGTAAATGTAATGGCTCTCCTGGGACATTTCTCTCGACCTTTTGCTGACAAGCCCAGAGTAATTAAGCAAATTTTATCATTCTTCATCTTTCAGAAGCTATGGTGATACTTTGCATAGAATGAAGGATCTCTGCAGATACATGAACAACTTTGATAATGAAGCTCATGCAAAATATAAAAACCAAGTGGTTTATTCCACTATGTTGGTCTTCTTTAAGAATGCATTCCAGTATGTCAATAGCATACAGCCATCTCTCTTCCAAGGTTGGTTTAAGAATTTTAGAGTGTCCCAAAATACTGGCCTCAGCGGGGATGGTGAAGATAAAAATGCTTACCTTAACATTGTTCTTGGATCCAGATAATTGTGGGGTGATACCAGCGCTTTATTTAGTTATTGTTGGTTTATTTAAGTACATCTTCATTAAAAGTTTCTGTACCAAAAAATGTAGTGGCAATATGAAACTAAATGCAGACATTGAATGCCTGTATTTTGAAAAAGCAGCAGATGTAGCAAAGTATTGAAGTAGATTACACAAAGACTTTGCAATAGGCAAAGACTTTTTAAATTTTATATATGTGTGTGTGTGTGTGTGTGTGTGTGTGTATCTCACTTCGGCAGCACATAGACTAAAATTGGAATGGTACAGAGAAAAAAATACATATATTCATATAAATCTTGCCTAACCGGTTTGGCTCAGTGGATAGAGCGTCGGCCTGTGGACTGAAGGGTCCCGGGTTCGATTCCGGTCAAGGGCATGTACCTTGGTTGTGGGCACGTCCCCGGTGGGGAGTGTGCAGGAGGCAGCTCATCGATGTTTCTCTCTCATTGATGTTTCTGACTCTCTATCCCTCTTCCTTCCTCTCTGTAAAAAATCAATAAAATATATATTAAAAAAATAAAATCTTGGAAAATAAGAAAAATACGAGTGTGAAATCTCCCATAATCCTTCCAGTATAACACAGCTCCCATTTTTGTTATTGCCTTATAGTCTTCATATATTAGATTTGTTTGGAATTTGTAACCATCATGTACATGTCATTTTGTAGTCTTACTTTTTTTGGTAATTTTATGATTCATGATTATGGTAAAAAAATTTGTAAAAACGTAAGAACAAATACAAAAAAGGAACTTTTTTTTGTAATCTGCTACTGATGGGAGAACCTCTGTTAACAATTGGTGTATACCTGTACAGTCTTTTTCTATACGTATACACTTGTTTGTTTTCCTAATTGGGGCCACACTGTACAAATTTTTAATGACCTATATTTTTACATGAAAGTTGAGTAAACTTCCACCTGATATTAAGTGTTCTTTTCCTTGCTACATTTTTAATTGTTGGTGTTTTACCCCACCCATAGGTCCTAATGCCCCAAGCCAAGTTCCACTGGTTCTCCTGGAGGATGTATCAAATGTGTATGGTGATATAGAAATTGACCGTAATAAACACATACATAAAAAGAGGAAACTGGCAGAAGGAAGAGAAAAGCCCATGGTAATCCTTTTCAGTGATTATTAATAGATTATATGTTTATGATTTTTTTAGAAATGAGTCTTTGTAAAATATGGCTTTGGAACTAAATTGATAAAGCTTAGGTTTTAGTTATAACATGTAATTACTGTATAACTCAGTGGTTCTCAGCTAGAAGTAATTTTGACCCCTAGGGACACTTGACAATATCTGAGGACTTTGTTGTTGTTGTTAATCCTCACTCAAGGGTATTTTCCCATTGCTTTTTAGAGGGAGTGGAAAGGAGGGAGAGAGACAGAAACATCGTTGTGTCTGACACATCAATTGGTTGCCTCCTGCATACGCCCCAACCAAGGCCAGGGATCAAGCCTGCAACCAAGGCGTGTACCCTTGACCAGAATCGAATCCGGGACCCTTCAGTCTGCGGGCTGACTCACTATCCACTGAGCAAAACTGGCCGGGTCAGAGGACATTTTTGATGGTCATATCATAGCTGGGTGGGGAAGGGTTGCTGTTAGTATGTGGTGAGTAGAGGCAGGGATAACGGCCAGAAAGGCTACAACACACAGGAAACCCCACAACAAAGAGTGATCCGTGTTCTTCACATTCTCCAAGCAGAGTTCCGACGACGAGGACTGTTCAGCAAAAGGAAGGAATCGTCACATTGTCATCAATAAAGCAGAACTTGCGAACTCAATTGAGGTGTTAGAAAGCTTTAAGTTGGCCAGGGAGAGCTGGGAGTTGCTCTATTCCCTAGAATTCCTTGACAAGGGTAAGAATATGCTTGTCCTATTAGTGCTGTTTAATTTTTTTATATAAAATCGTGCTAAAAAAATTACTTGATATGTCAAGTCACTTATGACTAAATTAAGTAAGATCTAATCAGTTATTAATGTTCAAATAACCATTCACCTCTTAGCTTCTGCTCTGAGTGTATATTATAATCAGGGTTGGGGTAAAGTAGAGGGAGAGTTCTGGATCTTTTAAAATTTCTATTGCTGGCCTTTTTTTTCTGGGTTTGTTTGTTTTGTGCTTTTAATTATCCTGTCCTGTTGCTCTGTATCTTCCTTAACCACATGTAACTAAGAATACAAAAAGTAATGCTGTTTTCCATCTGCATTAACTCCACTGTTACAAAACCTCAAAATCCAAATGCTATAGAAAGAAAGCCTGTTTTCTTTGAAGTATAGACATAAAAATAGGGTGTTTCATCTGAATAGTATTAAACTATTAAGTATATCAGCATTTCTTACAAATGACCAGCGCTTTGCTAACCAACATATTTTTGCCATCCTTTGGAGTCAAGGCTCATTACTTCCTTTTAGCCAGTGGACATTCATGCCTGTCCTGCTCTGTCACGTGCCTGTACAGAGCCCTTGGGCATGTTTCTGAGCAAATACAGCAGCATTCTGTTTCTCCTGTTGCATCTAGACTTGTGAGCATGTATGTGACTTTTCCTTTAGCTACAAATTGTCTTAAAAAGGAATAAAACTCTTAGTGTTGCACAGTATTTTAACGGGGTAAAAATAAAACAAGATCTTTTGGGGGGGGGGGGCAAAGTAATTGAAAAGATAAATGAGGTAATATGTGAAAAACATTTGGAACAGTTCTTGGCACATTGCATGTGCGCAGTAAATGTTGGTGCCTAATAAGAATGTGCTTGTGTATTACTAAGTATTCTGTTCTAACTTTACTGTCTAATTGAAGTTCTAGACCATTGTTTTAGAAATCAGAAATCAAACTACAATTACTGTCTATTTTTTGGTAATGTGTTTCTCTGGCTGTTGTTCTCTCTTACTGGGTTATTTAGTTGTGTTCAGTGTTACATATTTTTGGTAAATTTCCTTTGAATTCTCGCTCAGAATTTACACGAATTTGTTTGGCATGGAAGACGGATACTTGGCTTTGGTTAAGAATCTTCCTCACTGATATGATCATCTATCAGGTAGAGTCATGTCTGTTTTAAGCACCTGTGTCTGTACAGGATGACTGTTGCTAACCATCAGCATGCAAGATGTGTACGTCCCTCTGTGGACTATTAGTCCCTGCTCTGAAGACAGGTGTTCTGTCTCAGTGACGGAGGAATTGTGGTTCACTTTCATCTCACAGTAACTCCAAAACAGCATGGCTGCATCTTCTGTATTACTTTTGGTATGTCCAGTCCAGTCCTTTGTAAAAATGAGATTTTTACTTTTCACTAAAAGATGGGTACTTCTCACTCCTCCCCCTCTCTACTCTGGTGAAGAGTTTCTGCCTTGCTCTGCTGTTGCTGAGCTCCTTATGCCTGGAATGGAGAGAGCAGACCATTCACTAATGGGATGGAGAGCTTTCAGCCTCTTTGGTTGAAATGGACAGGTTGCTGCTTTCACCCCTCATAAAAGAGAAGTGGTCTTAGTAGTAAAATGTTGATGGAGGAATGGTATATTCAAAATGTACTTTATCAAAGGGCTTGCGTCATTTTATTTAGTCTTAAAGACCAGAAAGGCCGTTGCTAAGCCTCCTTATTCCTCCTTGGGTAATCAAGCAGAGGTACCTTATTTGTAGTTACTTGCTAGTTGCTTAGTTAACTCAGGAGGTTGGTTTATTTGTTTTTAATGGCAGTATTTTTCCCCTTCTTGCTGTTTATCTTTCTAAGGGTCAATATAAAAAGGCAATAGCCAGCCTGCATCACTTAGCAGCTCTCCAGGGATCACTTCCTCAGCCACAGCTCACGGGACAGGGAACCTTGGAGCATCAGAGGGCGCTCATCCAGCTGGCCACTTGCCACTTTGCTCTAGGGGAGTACAGAGTGAGTACTGACACCTTGCTCAGGCCCTCGGGGGCACTCAGCTACCCTGGTTTCCTCCTCCTCCTGGAGTGGCTTTTTAATTCTGTGCATGTTTACTTTGAAATTTGGTCTTTCTGTCTAGATTTATTACCCAGTCTGCTGGGAAATCATGGCGATTTTTTGTACTTAATTTTCCCTCTACTATAGTTTCCCTGAAATTGGGCCTCGGTGCTTTATTATTGTTCCATTTTGTTGGAAGATTTCCTTCCTCCCTCCCTCCCTCCCTCCCTCCCTTCCTTCCTTCCTTCCTTCCTTCCTTTCCTTTTCTTGCCCGAAATCCCTTCACAGTGGAATCAGTCCTGATGTACTGAACAGAAGGGGCCTTTACTAAGTGGGGAATGAGGACTTATATTAGCTTATCTGAACCTCAGGGTATCTCTTTGGTTGTGAGCCCTGCCTTCACAGGGTGGGGACAGTGTTCTTTATCTTGGATCTCTCACTACCTATCGCAGTAGTTTGCACAGCTTCCATACTCAATAAATGTTTTAATTCAGTTCATACTATATGTTCTGTTTTGTTAATTTTTCTCTCTGGTGAGTTAGTAAATGTTGTAAAGACAGAGACATACTTCTTTTGGGTGCCACTATGCTATTTAATACATTGGTAGTTTGATTAAGAAGTAAGTTTTGTTTTGTTGGGTTTTTAAAACAACAGAGAACGAGTTATTGTTCCCTCAAAGGTCCAGTACAGGATTTCACCTTACTGTTACTTTCCCTGTATGTTGGACAAACAGCGATGGCCACTTAAAGGGTCTGGAGACATTGCCACAGACTGTGTGTGCACGTGTTGCCCAGTTGTACGCAGATAGTCAGTGTGGTGTCGGGTTGCTTTCAGTTTCAGAAACTTCACATGAGCTCCTCCTCCTTGTCTCCTCAGATGACATGTGAAAAAGTCCTGGATTTGATGTGCTACATGGTGCTCCCCATTCAAGATGGAGGCAAATCACAGGAAGAACCTTCAAAAGTAAAGCCCAAATTTAGAAAAGGTACAGGACAAGTTTTGTTTTTATTTTGTAAAAATAGCTTTAGGACCCAAGGCTGGGAAATTTTTTTATAATTCCTGATAAGATAGTACTGTGTGATCTGCAGGGCTTGACAAAATGTATAAAAAGTTAATCCCTTACCAAGCTTTTTCTTGGCTCTGATTTCCTAAGTAGCTGGAAGTCTGCCTTTCTTCCAGAGTTCTCTTCATTTCTTAAGGTTGTCATCTCTTCAATTCTGAACTCCTTTTCCTTCCTTTACCAATTCTAGGGAAACGTGTAGATAGTACATATTCCTCTTGAGCTCTTTTGCGCTGCACTTCAAGTTGCATGTTGCTTAAAAACTACATAAATTTAGCTGTCATGCTTATTATATAAGAAAGATTCACTATCACTGATCTGAATTTCTACCTTAAAAGTCAGAAAAAGTTGAACACATTAAACCCAAAGAAAGTTGAAGATAGGAAATAATAACAATATGAGCAGAAATCAATGAAATAGAGAAAATTAATAAAGCTAACAGTTGGTTTTCTGCAAAGAACTAATAAAATTGATAAACCCTAACAAGGCTGATCCAGAAAAAAGTGAACACTGACTACCAGTATCAGGAATGAAATGGGGAATGTCACTACAGAGCCTCCTAAATCAAGGATATTAAGTAAGTTATGAACAACATTATGCCAATAAATTCAACAATTTAGATCAGTGGTTCCCAAACTTATTTGGCCTACCGCCCCCTTTCCAGAAAAAATATTACTCAGCCCCTGGAAATTAATTTTTATAAATTTTAATAGCAGTTACTCATCGCCCCCAAATGCACCTGTGGCCATCACCGCCCCCCTGGATCGCTGCAGCGCCCACCGGGGGGCGGTAGCGCCCACTTTGGGAATCACTGATTTAGATGAAATGGAAAAATTCCTTGAAAAACACAACTTATCCAAATGGACACAAAACGAATTAGAAAATCTGGATGTTCCTATATCTATCAAAGAAATTAAGTTTGTTATCAAAAATCTCCCACAGAGAAAACTCCAGTTCCAGATGGCTTCACTGGTGAATTCTACTAAGCATTTAGGAAGAAATAATAACAATCCTAACCTGCACTCTTTGAGGAATAGAGGAAGAGGGCATACTTTTCAGTTCAGTTTTTAAGACCAACATAACTCTGATAGCAAAACCAAACGAGCATCACAAGAAACATTAAAGGCCAGTGCTCATCCTGAACCTAAATGCCAGAATCCTTAACTAAATAGTAGCAAGACAAATATAGCAAATATATAAGAAAGGTAATACAAATGACCGAGTATACAGGGAATGCAAAAGTCGTTAACAGTAAAAAATCAATAACTAATCCACCACATTAGCAGATGAAACAAAGAAGATCATGATTGTCTTAATAGGTAGAATTCAATTATGTTTACATTTATTATTCCTGATTTTTAAAAATCTTAGCAAACTGAAAATAGAAGGAAACTTCCGTGACATCATACTTAACTATGAAATATTGAATGCTCCCCAGGATCAGCAGCAATAGAAGGATGTCTGCTCCCACCACTTCATTCAAAATAGTCTAGCCAATATAATAGGCAAGAAGAAGAGATAAAGGCATAAAGGTTGAAAAACACTGCCTTTATATACAGCTACATATTTGGCTACATAGAAAAGCCTAAGAAATCTCCAAATAGAATACATAGGGATAAATTTAATGAAAGATATGTCAAAATCTTGTTCGTAGCCCTGGCTGATAATGGATCAGTTCATTGGAGTGTCATCCTGTACACTGAAAGGTGATGGGTTTGGTTTCAGTCAGGGCACCTACCCAGGTTGCAGGTTCAGTTCCCCTTTCGGGGTGCATGCAAGAGGCAACCAGTTGGTGTTTCTGTGTTTGTCTGTCTCTCTCTCTCCCTCTTCCTCTCCCTCTCTCTTCCTCCCTTCTTTCCCCTCTCCAAGATCCATTTTTAAAAAAATCATGTTTGTAGATAGAAGACTCAGTATGGTTAAGGTATCAGTCATCCCCAATGTATCTATAGATTTAGCAAGTTTAGGAAAGAAGATTGATAAATGAAATCCAGAGACCATTCAAAAACCAATTTCACCTCCACTACACATAATTGTGGTTTAACTATTTATGAAATCATGTGACTGTTGTTCATCCTTTTTTTTAGGAAAGCATCTTAAACATATGCTTTTCAAAGCTGTTTTTTGTTGTTGTTCTTTTTATATAATAACAAGCATATTGTGGACTTTTATTAGGTTCAGACCTGAAGCTTCTGCCTTGTACCAGCAAGGCTATCATGCCGTACTGCCTGCATTTAATGCTAGCTTGTTTTAAGGTAAGCTTAAAGTTGTGGGAAAGTTCATTTTGTGTGAAAGAAATTTAATTTGGAATATTGTTTGGATGATTCAGAATGACTTGACTTCAGAACTTTGAGAACAAACGTTAGTTTAGTCCTTTGCAAATCCAGGTGGTGTAGTGAGGAAAGTGTGTGGGCTAAGAGTGAACAGACATTTATTAAATACTCACTGCACTGGGCGAAGATGAGTAGGAAATGATCCCCATCCTTGAGAAGTTTACAAATAATAGTGGGACAAATATGCAAATAACCTTGCTTATAGCAGGGATCATTATATATTTATGAATCACTATACAATTCAGAATATATTAGTTACAGAAGAAGGGATTGTAAATGTTGGGTTCATAGAGGGATAGTGAGTGTAATATCATAAAGATACAGTGGGTGGAAGCATTTCAGGCATAAGGATGAACACCAGCAAAGGCCCCGCAGAGTTGGGAAGGTTAAGGACTTGACAGAATGCCAGGCGCTCGGCTGCAGGCGCTGTGGAGCCTTAGCGTAGACAGGTTTTATGAGCAAGAGGGCGATAATGCTGGGTCTCACTTTAGAGTAGTTATTCCAAACTTAACTCCTCATCAGAATCACTTGGAAGTGTGATTCTAGGCCTCGCTGCTCACTTAGATCAGAAAGTCCTCTGCCAGTTTCTCCAGTTCACACCGCTGTTTACTTCCTTTTTGCTCACTACCTTTCTCTCTCCCCGAGTCCATGTTTTCAATCCCTTCTCTCCTAGAGGGTTTCTTGCCCACCCTCCTCTCCCAACTGTCTCCTTAAAAGAAATCCCCCAATTCTTCTCTCTGTTATATAGACCACTCTGCTTTCTCTAGCCCTTACTCCCAAATTCAAAGCTTCAGGCCCACTGTGCGTGCCCAGGTTCCATCAGATACCATGTAAACCCTGCCAGCCCCATGCGCACAGTGCGGGGGTGGGGGGCTGAGGCTTCTCTGTCAGGATTCCCTCCTCCGTAGGCAGTTGTGTGCTGCTTGCAAGGCAGGTTTGTTTTCTACTGTGTTCCCTTCTTACTCTAATGACCTTGATAATGCATTTTCAAACAATAGCATTTTTTTAAGGAAGTGATATCTGGTGTATTTTGGATTGCCCCATGATTTCCTTTTCCTTGTGTGTTTGCATCAACCCTTGTCTTGCAGCTTAGAGCTTTCACGGACAGCAGGGATGACATGGCTCTGGGGCATGTGATCGTATTGCTTCAGCAGGAGTGGCCTCGGGGAGAGAATCTTTTCTTGAAAGCTGTCAATAAGATTTGCCAACAAGGAAATTTCCAATATGAGAATTTTTTCAATTATGTTACAAGTATCCTTTTTCTTGCTTAAGCATAAGAAATTCTGATTTTTTTTTTATGAATGCGTGTTCCAAAAACAAATGGCCCATTCTGGGTAGAAATAATGGTTTTCACTATTTGGGGGAAAAAGAGAAGGAATGGGGATCCAAAGTGGGACATTTGCCATTGGTCTTGTGAAAGTCATAAAAAATAAAAGGTTTCAAGGAGGTCATGTAAGGAATCAGGAACATCAACAGCTCTGTTCATTTTCTATTTCTATTTCTATTTCGGGGAGGTGCCCAGATGCCTAAAGTAGTAGCCTACAGGTTCCTAATAGGCCCAGAGTTTCTGGTGTGGCCATAGGGTATATAACAGCTCACTGGCCTCCATCTTTCACAAGAGAGCCTCCTGGGCATCAGCCGTCCCCTGGGATCAGCTGGAGTTCTACTCACCGCTGCTGAGTGCTCACCACCTGTGCAGCCCAGCAGTCGCTTTCAGTGATAAGTGTTGTGTTCATGCTCTCTGTTAGGGAAAGACCACATTTGAATGGAAGGTTATGCATCAGTTTGGTGTTTCTACTTTATCGCTTATCTCAACACGTGATTTTTGAGTTGCGAGAAATCTAATATCCTTGTCCAAGTGCCTAGAGCAATAGTTCTTACCGTTTTTTGGGATACAATGCCTCTCATTTCTTATTAAGAAAACAAAAGATTTTGCTCTTATGATCATAGGGAATTTTATATTGCCATCTCTGTGAAAAACAGGTTTACCTTTGTGAGGTAGTTTGGTTGGTGTAAGAATCATTAGCTTTGGAATCAGGGGGACCTGGGTTCCAATACTGACTCTCCAGCTCTCATGGGGTGTTAGTTCCTCAATTGCTACAAGGCGGTTTCCTCATCCAAGAGTCCAGGGCACCTTGTTCTCACACGTGGTTAACCTGAATCTGACCTGCAGATATTGACATGCTGGAGGAATTTGCCTACCTAAGAACTCAGGAAGGTGGGAAAATCCATCTGGAATTACTGCCCAATCAAGGAATGCTGATCAAGTAAGCAGACTGTCTTTTGCTCTCCCCTGCTAAGTGCTCACCTTTTGTGTGCTTATAGGAAATGTTTGTAAATTTCTATACCTTTTACAAATTTAATAGAAAGGAATCCAAACCTAGTCTCTGTTTTTGAGAACAGATTTGATTCTGGTGCCTTTTGAAAGGCTTGGCGTTTCCTTAACGACATTTTTGACCAAACATTATTTAAACGAGGATGTTTTTGTCACTTCTGAAACTATTTCACTAAACAAAAGTCTCATTCGTGGTATCTTTTCCTTTCTAAAATTTACAGACTAAGTCAATAAATGTCTGATTAAACATAGAGTACTTTTAATGAAAAAAAAGCCACGCTTAATTGAAATACCAGATTAGGATAAGTCATCAGGGAAACTATAGACTTTGGTTATAAACTGTACTTGAATTTCACTGTTGAATTGAGACCCACCTCAGCAATCCTCACTGCTTATATAGCACAAAGGAAAATAGCCCAGGCTAGGGCCTCCAAGTTCACACCTGGCCCAAGAAATGATGGTGGTGCTTGGTCTCAGGCATGCCCTCCCACACCTAGAGGAAGTTAGTGACCATTTATGATTTTTAAATAGCTCATAAATCTTGCTTCTCTCCTTCAGTCCTCATCATAGTTTGGATGATAGATCCTCTGTGCTGTAAATGCCTCGCTTAGTGTGATTTTCATACTTCCTCCTTTGCGTCCTGCATAGTGAGCATGTCTTACGTCAGCGTTAGAGTCACTGCAGGAGACTGACCCAGAGGGAGAAGGCAGTGCTCCTGAGGCTGAAAACGTCTTCCTTTCTCCCTCACTTGTGACCTGAGCGAGTATTCAGTTGTTGACGGAGAAATAGCCACAGCTTGTTCTGTCTCTCAGGTCTTAGAAATGTTAGGAGAAGGAGGTAAGAGCAGTTCATTCTGGATTTCTGTGACCGCAGTAATTTGTGCAAAGCAGACACATGCTGTCAATAGTAGGGTCTTATGGAATCCAGTCTAAAGAAAGGGAAGACTCAGTGGGGTTCTTGTCCTTCATCTTAAAAATGTTATTAATATTCTAAACATTTAAAATAAAAGAACAAATGCTCTTTTAAAAGAAAATGAGACCTTTATAAATTCGGTTGCTTCAGCAAGATGGACTGGGCATGCTCATCTTCCCATCTCCATTCACTTTCCAAAGACTGAACACGAACTGGGGAAGTAATTGCATGGGTCAAATATTCTTAACAGTGTTTGAGAATGAAGATTCCTTTTGACGTGGGAGCCTACATAACCCCTTTATGTTGTGATTTTGTGATTTCTTTTCTAGGTTTGAGGCTGGGTATACAAACATAGCTTTTTCGTTAATTCCCACTAACACTCATCGTACAAATTATAATATATAGACAGCCTTAGTAGAACCAACTCCATTTACTTAGGAGTAAACTTACAGAAGATTCTCACTTTGCTTCAGGGGTGGGGAACCTTTTTTCTGCCCAGGACCATTTGGATATTTATAACATCATTCGCAGGCCATACAAAATTATCAACTTAAAAATTAGCCTGCTGTATTTGGTCACTCAATTAACTCACCCCTAATGTCTTGACAGGGCCAGACCAAATTATTTCGCAGGCCTTATATGGGCTGGACATTCCCCACCCCTGGTTTAGATACTGCTTAACTGTTTGTGGAAGTGGGAAAGAATAGATTGCCAAAAAATCACCAGTTGAATCTCAAAGTTTATTTACACTGAATCTTTCTTTTTTAGCCAATTTTTACTGAGCTAAACAGTGACGGGTACATGCAGACAACCCCTGAGATAGGGGGCTTGGACACCCACATAATAAGGCAAAGCGTTGTTTAGGATACACAGCATGCATTTCTAGGCTTTTGGGAGGTAACTCCATGCTCCTGCTGTGGTCAACATAACCCTTAATTTCTAGACCACTAAACTTCGCAGGAAACCTGTTTGAAAGCAGGAGTAAGATTGCTACTTAGTGAGCTGCCCTTGTAGGAATTTGCCCAGTCGTCACTAAGTGAGTCTCAAAGTCCATTTGAAGCCTGCATTTCCAATTACTTATGCCTAACCTACAGCGGGAGAAGCAAGCGGCATAAGCCAGAGCATTCTTGCCAATTGAGGTACAGTGAAATCTTGAGTAAAACTATATTCCTTTTCCCTTTGGGTTGCAAACAAATTCTCTGCAGACTTGTGGGTGGCCCCTGTAGCTGAGTGGCAGAGATGTTGTGCGCAGTGTACAGCCCCTCCCCTTGGGTAAGGTTGTGAGTCCGTCCTAGTTGTGGCATCTCGGATGCGAGCAGGTACAGTACGAACACTGGGCACCGGGGGCCTGCCCCACAGGAGGGATACGCTCTTTATTTGTTACATAGACATTTTGCTCTTCTGTATTTTAAAGCAGAGAAAAATTTCTGTGCTGATATTTGCAGTATCTTAGTTGCATTAGACTGGATGAAGTAGGAAACGGTGTCTTATGTATGCTTTGAATAGGATGGATAATAATCTGTGAGGTGAACACCAGCTAATGTACTAAATCTTTGTTGTTACAGAATTCTGCAAAGCCATGGGTCCCAGGCTCTTCCCCTCCCATCCCCCATTTTTCCTTTTCTCGGTACTTTTTTGAAATTCAAACTAACCTTCCTTTATCGAAAACATTGCCAGCCCCTCTAGTCCTCTTGGAAGGGCCTCTTCAATTTGGGGCTTCAATCCCATCAAGGATGGTTACAAAAAGTCACCAGGTTTATTTCTAGGACTGGCGTGAGCATGAGAAGAGTGGAGAGTGAAGGAGGCTGGATTTGAAAACACGACTTCTCAAATGTTCACCCCTCTCCCCACTGCCATTCAATTGCATTTCATCGTCCTCTTCCTCAGTGGTTGCTTTTTATGCCAAATCTCAAGTGGGCTGAGCGCGGGGACCAGGAACCAAGATGCCTCTGGCCGTGCCCCAGCAGCGGGTGCAGTGAGAGCTGCGGCCAGGGGCCTGCGGTTAAAGGGTTTCTGTATAGTCTGCTTCCCGTCCTGTGCCTTTTCTCTGGAGTGTTGTTTTTGCAGTGCAGGGTGAGTCGGTGTGGGTGTTTGAATGCTGCCGTTTGCTGTTTTTTAAAGGCCTACTAGCCCTCCCATGGGGTTACTGCAGCAGGAATTCTTACCTGTGCTTCAGCCCAGCATACAGACTGCTGACAGGTACCAAGTGGAAAAACACCTGCTCATATAGTGTGCTGTTTTGTCAACATGTTTTACTGCCCATGGTCTTCAGCTCTTTGTTCCTCAGTGCTCTTTTCCATGCTTTCTTTATTTTTTAATTTGTTCTGCATTCCTTGGCAAACCATCTGGTTGTAATATTGTAACATTTCTTATTTTTTGCCATAAGTTGCCAGTGTTTTTATGTTCGGTTTAAAAATCATTATGGAACTGGAAAAACATGAAAGTTATATAAAACTGTGTCAGATTGAGTGCACATTAGGCACTGAACTCTTCTTTTGAGAAAGTGTAAGGCATTCCGTTATAAACATTGGAGGATGCTAAAGCTTATTTTAAGTAAATGTTTACTCCTAAGTTTTTATACGAGTGACCAGTGTTAAGATTTCGGTCTCAACAGGCATTAGCACAGTATACTTGCCTGTCGCCGACACTGGTTTTTCAGACCTTGTCTTTCTGAATTAAAAATATTGGGTAGCTAGAATGTCACGGTTATTAGCTGATTTATCCTGTTCTTAAACCACAAAAGCTAATTCTCTCCTTCATCTAAATTTACCAGAGGGATAGAGGCTCTGACAGACACATGACTGAGTTGTGCTGCTCTGTATATATGTGAAACAGTACCTTTGAACCACGATCAGCAGGATACAGTTTATTATATTTGTACTAGTATTAATTTACTAGTGGAGAGTTTGCTTTGCACCATCAATGCCCTTGACTGTCTGCAAATACCAGTAACTTTTGGTTGGTCAGAGAGTCGGCTCCAATTTGGGGTTGCAGGCTGGCTCCCAGAAATGCAGTGTCTCAGGACAGCCTAAGGTCTGTGTCTGTTCCCAGTGGGACTCGTGGCCTCGGCCTGACACTGTGTCCTAATTGCCAAGTGAACCAGCCAGACGTCACTAGAAAAGTCCGCAAGAACTGCGTGTGTTCCCCGCGGCACCGCTGTTTTGCTGCGTAGTTCCCAGCATTGCAGCGTGCCCAGTAATGTCACTACGAGCCTGACAAGGCTGGGTGTCTTTCTTTGCAACTTTATGACTTTGTTGTACTTGTTTTATATGCTAGTACAAGTTTTAAAAAAACAAACATTTTAGAGTGGTTTCAATGGTGTTGTTTTGACCAACACATAAATATCTAATTTTAGTATATATGCTACTGAAGCGAGCACATAAAAATCTAATTTTAATCCCTGTTACTCTATCTGAGGGAAGTGAGGCAGTAGGGGTGGGGAATGGAGGTGGTTTCTGTTTGTCTAACCCACCAAATTACTGAACTGGTGTCAAAACTCCTTTCCTTTTCATTGAATCCATTGAGTTTTGCTAGATTTTTCTTTTCCTTCTTCACGTTGGTGTCTTTTCTGGGATTTCCTGTGTGGTTTCCCTCTCTAAAGCAGCGGTCGCCAACCTTTCGGACCTCACGGACCACCGCTTGGTGACTGCTGCTCCAAAGGTTTCCTTAAACCAACGGTCGCCAACCTTTCGGACCTCACGGACCACGAGTGGTCGCGGACCACCGGTTGGCGACCGCTGCTCTGAAGCACACCCTGGAGAATGTAGCTGGAGATCTTTGCTTGTGCTCCCACGGGCCCTCCCACCAGCATGCAGGTCTGTGCACATGGACTGGATCCGGTCTTCAGGTGGCTTTTGCTGGCCTTTGACTATTGCTCAGTGACTGTGCTGCTCCCTCCCCGCAGGTGCCAGACTCTCTCTTGTCTTGGGAGCCAGCAGACCTGACCTGCTGGGCTCAGCACTTAGCAGAGCCGTCCTGTTCTGGCAGCAGGGGACAGAGATGTGCTTGTGACCGGTGGCTGAGCACAGTCCCTGAGCCCTTCACGGAGCCCCAGCCCACGGGGCCAGGTGCCTAAGCTGTTTGGTGGCACTCATTTTGGTTTCCCTCCTCCCTGCTGCTGCCTCTGCAGCCCACAGTAACTGAATTGTGCACAAGTCAGCGTAGGGATGCATAATGTCCAAGCTACAGGAGTTCAAAAGCGAAGCAGGTGGCATTTTACCGAACATTTAGATCTTTAAAATCTTCTTTTCTTGAGTGGGAAAGGTGTCTCTCTAGTTTTAAGTCTTTGAGAAGGAATGGGCAAAGGGGGCGGTTTGGTTAGGGCTTTTCTTTCTTTTTAAAATGTCTTACTTATACTTAGATTTGAGGTAGGCTTTACTCCTACCCCAGAGGACCCGCCCTGTAGAACCAGCGCTAACCACGGTGTCCCTCTGTTTCCCTGTTGCTGCCCTCAGGCACCACACAATCACTCGGGGCATCACCAAGGGCGTGAAGGAGGACTTCCGCCTGGCCATGGAGCGCCAGGTGTCCCGCTGTGGAGAGAACTTGATGGTGGTGCTGCACAGGTTCTGCATCAACGAGAAGATCTTGCTTCTGCAGACTCTGACCTGACGGGAGCCCTTTCCGCCAGAGACGATACAAAAATTTGGGGGAGACGTGAAGCCTTGATAAATGTCGCTTTACACCTCTTAAAACGAAGAAATCCACCTAGGTTCTAACTCCTTGGTTACTTAAAAATAGTTCCCGAAAGCCTGAGAAGCTACTTCTATTTTTTAAAAGTCACTTTTTTTGGTAATTTTTGTAAAACAAAAGAATCTGTTTTGTAAATTAAAAAATCATCCCAAATTTGGAGGTTTTAGAAATTTATTGTGGTGTGCTTTACTTTAAAACATTATTCCTTTGCCCAGCCACAGTGGCTCAGTGGTTGAGTGCCAACCTATGAACCAGGAGTTCACAGTTCGATTCATGGTCAGGCCACATGCCCGGATTGCAGGCTCTGTCCCCATTCGAGGCGGGGGTGGGGGGGGCGGTGTGCAGGAGGCGGCCGACCAATGATTCTCTCTCATCGATGTTACTATCTCTCCCTCTCCCTTCCTCTCTGAAAAAACAAACATACATTATTCCTTCCATGATCTCAAGATTTTATTTTCCACATTTAGGCCGTGGTTAAAAATTCATATCAACACATCTAGACTTTTTCGTTCTGGGAATTTTAATACCAAAAACCTGTATGCCAAAATGAACTTGTGAATTTCCGCTGAAGGAGCCATGGGGTTGGGGGCAGGGGTAGAGTTGGGGGTGGAGGGTCTGCCAAACTGCCCAGGAAAGGGAATGGTGGAGGGAGGCGCCGCCTCCCCGCCCGGCCACAGGCTGGCCCAGCCTGCCCTGCCCACCTGTGTCTGCCCAGGCTCTGCAGCCCTGCACTTGCCATCTACCAGGGACAAGTTCATTTCTCTGCTGCAAGCTTGTTGGAGAAACTCAGATAGTGACACTTCCCTCACAGGTGGTTGTAAACAGTAAGTGTGACTTCATGTGAAATGCTTAGAAAAGGGCCTTACACATTGTAATTGTTCAGCCAGTGTTAGCTAGTGTTTTTATTTTGATCTTCCAGAAATATATCAGTAAACAGCAAACAAACATTTGTTTCTAGAGGCTCTTTAAGAATGAAATAGCTAAGAAATTATTCAGTTACTTTGCATAAAAATTTTTAGAAATATTTCCTAAATGAGGCCCTTTTCATAGCTATATTAAAATCAATAAGAGGGTTTTTATCTCAGAAATTGTTTCCTCTAGCTCATTTTAAAGTGTTTATCAACTTTGCCCTTTCCTTTCGGCCGGAACCGCCATCTTCCAGTAATTCGCCAAAATGACTAACACAAAGGGAAAGAGGAGAGGCACCCGCTATATGTTCTCTAGGCCTTTTAGAAAACATGGAGTTGTTCCTTTGGCCACATACATGCGAATCTACAAGAAAGGTGA